TATCCTATGAAACTATAGTAGTTTCCAATTTCTTTTCCATTATCCCAATATAACCCCAATATTATAGCCCCAATATACTAAGCTCCACTCCAGCTCCTGCTCAAGCTTTTGCCTTTTCAAGTGGCTTCACTTCTGGAGGTGCGCTTGGCCGTGAGAGGCCAGGAAAGCGAGACGCATGCGGTCAGACCTGGTCAACCTCAAGTTCTGGCTCAACTCCTGGCTTTGCGAGAGCAGTCCAGGTCCGGACCATCTTCCTAAGATGACTGAGGGATTCGGATCACAACGCCCGTAGCGCTGATGTTAGGATTCCACCTTGTACCGGGTTCAAAGACATCTCCAAAATCCATCGGCAAAAGATGCATTTTGCTTGACATCTGTCTGCAGGCGTTGCTCACCAGAAGCTGCTATTTACAGTGCAAGCACTTGCTCTCACTTGATTGTCAGAGGTTTGTTGTACCTGGAAGTTCTGGCATAACCTCAAGCGGGCCGACCCAAGGAATGCGCATGTGCAAATGGAAACTCTGAGGCAGAAGCTGGGATTAGGATGTACATGTTCCAGGCAAATCCTGGCAACAATCGGTATTGAGCGAAAAGTCTGAGTGGGAACTCTCTTTGCAAAAGCTGGTGCTGTCTCCAAGGTGGGGGTTGCACGAACATCCAGCATGTGAGCATCTCCAAAAGCAAAAGCTTTGGATCACTGCATGACATGTGGGACAGTTTGGCTCTTATGGGGCAGAACAGGATGAGGCGAGATTGGGCGAAATATGAGATAGTCGTGGTAGCTCTTTTTGGCTTCAATTTCGGTTGCAGCTCGTGTCGGAACTTTCGTGACCAAGCAAAACACTGTCAAAATTGTGAAGAAGCACGCTGGGTCAAAGAATCACTCCAGGCTTTGTTTGAAATTGCCTCTAGCAAGAAATATGTCTGCTTTTGTACAGGCTTTTGAATTAGAGAGAAGAATCAAGCAGCAACTGGGAGTGAAGAATCTAACGCTAGTAGCTGTTCGCATGCATTGACTTTGAAGTCTCAACTCTCCCGAAGCAGTTGTTCAAGGCCCTAAATAAGAAGCATTCTGCAGAAAGTGAGTTCTAGTGTTGGTTCTGATGATGTTGGCGGCGATACTGCTTCTCTCCGCTGCTTGCGCTGCTGACGGTGGCGATGGGCGTCAGACCGCGGCGGTGGTTGCAGTGCTTCTGCCAGCGCTGCTGCAGCTGTCAGGTTGTAGCGGTAAGTACAGTAGTGACAGCAGTGGTGCAAGTGCTACACCTAAGACATGTGAGATGCAATTAGGACCATCGTGTACTCTCGTGTCCACCATCCATTCTGACGTAGGCTTGCCTGCTATCTAGCGCGGATTCTGAATCCAGAGCATCGTCATCTTTGAGATGCTGTCGCCCTGCCCTGAGCAGCTCAAGCGATTTAAAGCGATTAAAAGCAAGAACCAAACTCTTCAAACTCTCTTTTGGTGCTGCAGCCTCTGCCCAGTCCGGACCAACCTCTCAGAGCCAACTTAGAGAATGCTCGTAGCAACAGACGCTTTTTCTGCCTCCACGTCTTGAACTCGTTCTCAGGCACCCCAAGTCGCTCCTGGTCGGGTCTTAGCATGCGCTATCTTGCGCTTGCAGCTATCCAAATGCGTATGGGTTGCTCTCAGACTCAGGGTCCCCTGATTGTATAGATGATATTACAGCACCTAATATTTAGTGGTGCCAAAAAGGGAACCTAATTTTGGGAACTACCCATATGTCAGCTTCACGGTCCTTACATCGAGTCTTGAAGCTGCCAGCTTTCTCTCCCGGTGCCTCACTACAAGGCCATGTTTTTTCGAAAGAACGCACCACAGAGCATGTACTGAGGTGACGGGCAGCAGGGAGAAACAGAGGCTGACCAAAGGCCTTGCATGAAAGTGGCTGCACTTCGGTATTCCATGCAAGGCTGCTTGAACCAGTGGTCCGCACTTTCAAGAAGACGGTAAAGATATTTGAAGACGCGGAGAGATGCTGAGAGCAGCTGCCTGCTGACTGGAGCGGTCGCAGTGGTAAACCTCCACGAGCCGATCTTCCTTGCGAAAGGCAACACTACAGCAGAGTTCTGGCCTGTTGCCTGAGACTTTCATGATGTAAAACATGGCACAGCAAACCACACAGCTGTCCGGTGACATCGAGGCTGTGTCAAGGTCTGCCTGCAAAAATACCAAAGCACGAAATCCCTTCCAGCCCTTGCAAGATACCGCCTCGATGCGCACCGCATGGTAAAGCACATTGTACTTCCCATAGCAGTTCAGGGTGCGCAAAGGGTCCGTCGGCCTCGCACTTGTCATCTTGCACGAACATGCTCAACAGCTCAAAAAGATCTGAAGATGTTGTGGCAATGTAGCCTCCACAGCGTGGCCATCCCATCAATGACCTCCATTGCTCGCAGCGGCCCGGAGATTTTCCAGTCCTGAGCGGCATCTGATCAAAAGAAGTTCAAGGACTGGAAGGGATGTCAAATTAGCCCCCTGCAGGCTCAATGTGAGGTTCTGCTGCTCTTAACAGATCCTGCTTGACTTCACGAACGACATCAAGCTGCAGCGATGCTTACACCCCAACAGCAGCAAGCAACTGCAAAAAGAAGTGCCGCTCGAGTGTGGCAGCACGGCAAGAATCTCGCTTCCTCCACTGTGCCCGTGGCAACATTCACATAGCAAATCGCGCTTCCAACCTGCAAGCAGCTGCAGGCACAGAGAAGCCGGAGAAACTTCAAAGAACTCCGATTTGGGAGCAGAGGAAGGAGTCTAACGGTTCACTCGTTCGCCTCCCGCACGGCGGAATCAAAAAACCGCACGCCAAAGGCCCAGAAGTTCGAGTCTAAACCGTCAGCGCCTGAAGTCAAGGTATCATAGGAGCAGCTCAGACCACAAATCTTTGTTTAGCTCTGTTTATGCACTGCTTTGCTCTGCCTGGCCGAAAGGGCATCTCCACGGCATGGAGATTCAAAGGCTTCTTTCCTGTCGCGGGTTAAACATCAATGCTATCGGGGCCATTGGGCGGCCCAAAGCACCTCCTGCTGGTGACACGTATGGCGCATAGCGCTGGATATCCTGCATCTTTCAGCTCATTTACACCGGCATCTTTTGACTTGAGATCTGAAGGCTTGAAGCCAAGCATAAGGCCTTCAGCGTGGAGCGAGAGTGTATGCTCGTGCTGATGGGTTCCTGGTAACATGTGCCAAATGCACTTCTCATTATCCATGTCTACTTGTGCTGCCGAAAGCAACCATAACATCCTATGTAACCGCAGAGACCCTGTCTGTCTGCCTGTCTGTCTGACTTTAACACTCATATGCCGTCGTCGGCCCTACTCTTGCTGTGGGGCCTCTCCATTTGACGGCGGAGACTGGAAAAGCCTGCAGAAAAGCGCTGCAGCAACGAATCAGTTACGCAAGCATGAACACGACAATGGATCCCTAGGTGTCCGACCACAGAAAGGTCTCGTTGTCTGGGGAAGATGTTGACGCAGGCGTCCTCGATCGGAGCACTAACAGGCATGGCAGGACACGGGCACGTGATGGACACCAGCCCAACGAGACTTCATGAAATGTTCTCTATTTGAGGCCCCCACGTCACGCTCTTCAGATCAAACGCCTGGGCAATGATTCCTGGGGCGAGCAGATAGCAGCTAGCAGCAGGCATGGGAAGCGAAGACCTCTTCAAACGGCCTGTGACATGGCTTTGGGTCCACCGCAGATCCATCTGAAGCTCCTGCTTGAGGGCCGCAAGAGTTGCATCTAAAAGACCCCAAGGTCAGGAATGGGTATCCTTTGTCACAGCCGTCGCGAACTTTGCCGGACTCTTGGACAGCGCAATGTCCTCACCAAAAACAGAAGCCAAAGGAAGGCGAGGGAAAAGGCAATGCCTGGCCTCTGGCTTCTCCTCACGCGTTCCCTCCTGCAATGTAAATGACTTCAATGCATCACACTCTGCAGGTGCCGGTGCCTGCGCAGTTGACGGCCTCGCTAGGCTTTCACCAAAACACCGTAGCTGCATGCCAAAACATGACTTCGAAGGCTAAATCCAGGCCATGGGCCTGTACGCACCCCAGTGGCCATTCATCACCACGCCGTCGATGCAAAGCGGCTGGTGCAAGAAACGCATGCAGCCCACCCAAAATTGAAGTACTGAAGCATACACCCTGACGCAAACTAGCGCAAATGTTCCAACTGAATGTGGCAAGCCTGCTTCCGATCAACCAGTGTCACTTGCACTTCAATGGAATTCACTTGGTGTTCCTGCCATTCACGCAGCTGTCCTAGTTCACTGAAAGCATCGTGCAGCAATCTGCCAAGGCCACGAGCAAGTCAAAGACATTTTCAACGGGATAGGTAGGAGCCACCTGTCACGAGGCTTCGACTCGCAATGCTTCAAGAAATTTGCGCTGAAGTATTCTGACCGCACCTGCCCTGGCTGCAGCGAGCTTTCCTGTCGCACTCAGAGAGCTTGTGCCACCAGATGGCTTACTGCATCTCGTCAAGCTTTCAAGGAGTTGGATACATTGCCCAAAAACAGTTGGCCTCGCTCTCGGATTCTTTTTCCTTCTCATTCCTGTTGCTGGTTCGTACCTTCGTACCTTCTTTGTCTCTTTCCGATTTTCCCGTCTCTGGCAAGCCTCAAGTTATGCTTTCCTGCTCCAAAATGAATGGGAGCGTGGCGACTTTTTGTTTTTCTGAGCTTGAAGCTTACAGCCAAAGCCGAGGGGCCAGCACCCCCTCAGTGAGTGCTGGGCTGGACAGAGCTTTGCATGGCCTTTCTCGGTGTTGGTTCAGATTGCGGATTGCGTTGGAAACCAGCACTCTACCTGGAACTGCAGTGCTCACAGTCTGTTGTGGCATATCAGCCCAAAACGCTGGAAGAATCCAAAACACCCCTAACTACCCCCTGTACTGTATCTTGCCAACAACACAGCTCATGCCGGTCTCGACATCACTCAGGGAACTTCCTGGGTGACACTTTCTTTCATGCGGAAGTAACCCCTGGAATCACTCCCGCACCCTTGCAGGGCTAAAATTCAAGGCCAACTGAAAGCCCTCCTCCCACAGTAAAGACCGTCATTTTCCCGTCCTTCCCGCCCCTGTGAGCTGTACAGGTTGGGGCTTCATCCCTTGTATCAGACAGGCTCAGGAATGTGCCGTTCTGACTATCTCGCCATTAACTTCTGGGCTTTTGCAAAGTCTGGCCCTGACTACGCGCATGAGCACCTGGAGTTGTCTCCTATCACTAGGAGAAGGCTTGGCGTTCCTTCTTGGCTGTGTCCTCTCATTTTAAGTTGCCTGAAGGCCTCCACCATCATGTACAGGCTTTGCAAGGTTAAGGAATTTAGCATGTGAGACTGATTGCCTTTGTTACTCGAGGCCTACAACTCAGCCTAACCCAGCCGCATGGTTGGTTGAACACAGCTACAGCATGATTCTCTCCGGTGCTGTCCTATGCGTTGAAGCTGCCCAGACACACACTGTTTGGACGCTGTGTGCAAGCCCTGCACGATGATTGGCACATGGTAGATTCCCTAAAATGAAGGGACCCAAGATAGACCAAAATATAGCATAATCCTAAGAATGTCGACCCTAATTTTGGGAGACCCTCACATGTTCTTGTAAAATTTACTCTTGCAAAGTTGCAGTCCAAGACTTCTTTTGATGAAGCCGTTTCGGGTGTTGGAACCCATTTTGGCGTGCTGTCCTTTTGGACCGGGCACTGATGTTGCCTTCGGACTCTATCGTGTCCTCTTGAAGGCAGCTTCCAATACCTTTTGGAGCCAAGGTGGGGCCGAGTCTAGATTTTGTACCTGCACGTTCAAGCAAACCCAAGTGGAACAAGTTTTTGCCGTTTGGAGCCAACTCGTCTGTCTTCTGGAACCTATTTTGATGGACCGCTAATTCCATGAATTCCGTTGGCATTTCGGCGTGCTTCGGAGGCATGCATTCCTTCGTTTCGAGGACGCTTGTTGAAGGCAAAGTGCACGTCGCCTCTCCGGCCACCTCTGGTGGTGAGGGCGAAGCTTGCTGCCAGACGATGATGTCACCACACCTGGAAGCACAGAGCTCATGGTCTCGCAAGTGACACTTATGAATTACGGTTTATAACAGTAACCAGTCACTGAGTCTGTTGCCAAAGCCGCTCTGTTTTCGCTGACTTTTTGGCGCTTCGCCGTTGTATCTCGCGCCTGGAGAAGTTCTCGAGCTTGCTGGCTCCCTAGACGTGAGGGAGCTTCTGAGGGCCCTGCTCTGTGTATTCTTCCCAGCATTCCCAGACCGAATCCAGCTTCACTCCATCCTCCAATTCAAGGCTTTAGGGTTTTAGGGTTGATCCCCAAAATTCAAGCCATTAGCACTTCACGGCGTCCTCCTCCACCGACTGCAACTGGGGCGGAAGTGGCGCCACCTGAAATCAGCTGGGACGTCAGCCGAGCCCATTCGCAGACCACTTTAAGGAAGAGCTGCCTCCTGACTGTCCAAAAACCGCTGTAGTCTCTCCATCACCCAGTTGCTTTTCACCTCAAAGCTTAGCGGCTCAGCTTGACTTCAGAAAGCTCCACACAGAGGGTAAGTTCCGGTGCCATTGTGATGAGAGCTTCGTTCTGAGGCATGTAGTAGCCTGGGTCGCTTGTTCAAGTAGACTGTGCCTGGAAAGGTCTCTCTATCTCTCTCGCTCAGCCACCCCAGGCTTTTGTAAGCCTCCGGCACCCCAAAGTGACGAGCTTCCGTCTCTGGATGCAGAAGTACTTCACCACAAGCCTAAGACAGGCTGTTTGACATGGGAAAGATTCGCAAGTGTTGTTGCAGTCAAGGATGGAGTACAAAGCGCGCTGCATAATCGCTTGTTCGTCCCACCTGGCAGTCCAAACCATTGAGAGTCAGCACATCTGCGTACACGACTATATGCATTGTCCACCTGGACAACTCTTCTGGCTCTGCAGACTCATTCTGCCACCTCAAGTCACATGAGGACTCCAATGGAGGCGAGTAAGGCGCATGGGAGCGAACCTCAAAGGTGGAGGACCCACAGCATAGCCTCTGGCTGCCACCTTTTGCAGAGCGGCTTTTCGACTAGCGTACTGAATCTCTGCAGTCATGCCAATCGCGATTGGCCACCAGGTGCCAAACGCATAAAACGGTGATGCACGGGTCTTGCGAGTCCTGGGCCAACTGAACGGATTTAACAGCCTATCTCATCAACCACGTCTCCAACTATGAATCGAAACATGGAAGATCCTCTAGTTCTGGGATTGTACAGGTTTGCCAGCGAAGCCTTGACCTTTGGGGTCTTTGGACCCGGAGTCGAGCACCATACATCACATCCCGACACAAGACGCTTCCGGGGTTTGTATCAAGGGGGATGTTTGCGAGCCAATCTATCCCCCCCTTTGTATCACGCTGTCTTTTTGCAGAAGAAGGATCATAATGAGGAGAGGTGACAGGCGGTATCTGTGACCTGCGACAAACTGCAATTCAAAATACAAGGCAGGCAAGTGAGTACCAGCACATATCAAGCATGCATCATGCTGGACCTGAGAGACTTTGCCTGCGGCATGAACTCAAATCTCACCTGCAATTCTGGAAGTGGGGTGCACTTTCTTGTGCTTGATTACCTGAATTCGAAATCAAACTCACAGCTTCCAGTGCCTGTCGTGGATTCGAGCGGAAGTGAAGCACAAAAAGTGCCAGGTGCGCAGGATTCACCTTGCAACAAAGGCTTTTTGGCAGTCGGCTCCAGTTGGACACCAGCGGTTTGCATGCTGACCTGCAAGAGCTCCTCAGCATGCAGTAGCAGGTCCTTTACACAGGTCCCGTGAGGGCTTGGCTTACGATGCATTGGGCAATGCCGCAACATCTCCTTGACAAACTGATCTCGGTTCATCTTGAAGGACTGCCCCGTTGGGATGCTAGTGTAGTCCCAGAAGCCCGTCATGGAGCACCTTTGGATTCGGTGGCTTGGTGGCCATTCGGTGGCCAGCAGCTGCCAGCAGCTGTGGAAGCTCAATGCAAAAGCCATTCTGAGCTATGTACAAGTCGTTCTCCAAGATCAAGTTTATCCTGCAAGGACTCTGCAGGCTGTGGCATAGGAACGTTGGCAACCGATAGGATTGACAGCACCACTGCAGCCAAGTAAAATGAAGTCTCCTCCTGTTGCTCACCCCCAGTCCCTCTTGAAACCTGTGATCCCGGCCACATTTCTATGCTTCCGTTAGACCGGGGAATCCTTGAACGCGCTGCTTGTTCTTTTGCTGAACAACGTTCAGGAATATACAAGGACACAAGCATTTAATCATCTCCTGCTTTTCTAGCATTTTTGATGTCAAACCCATGGTATTCACGTACAACAGCTCCTGATCTTAGTCTGGAGCTCCAACTTCTCCCTGCGGCGTTGCTCTTGCAGTCTCACCTGCAGAGTTTAAGCTGGCAGACGGAACAAAAGACATAAAGCAATACCAGCCCACCCTTCAGCCTCAGCGTTACATCTCTCCACCATCCGGCTGTTGACCTGCCAATGGCAGCCACCAAGATGATAGCGAGCTCGAGAAAAGCAAGCGCGGACTCTGTGATGATACGGGTACAAGGTACAAGTGGCAGGATGTGCTTTGACTTTTGACTGTCTTTCGGAATGCTATGGAGCTTATCCATTGGCCTTAGTCGGCCACTGCCACGCCGCAATCTACATAATTGCCTGCATTGGGTCAGGGATGCGCAGAACATCCTCCGCACAGTCTTCCCGGATGTAGACCAGAATATACCTGCCAACTCAGTAGCTGAATGATTGATTGATGCATGGTCAGTCTTGACGAACGCTTCCGTTCCATCCTGGCCTGCCTCAACCAATCTCATACTGACATGACTGATTAGCACAGGCCAATAACAGACTGCAAGATTGGAGCCTAAAGCCAAACAGCTAGGCTGGGGCTTTGAGATACCGACCTCTGGCGAATGCCACATCGGCAATGCCCAGTCGTCGCACTACATATTAGCGAAACTAATCTACAAGTACTGTACTGTACTAGCATTGGATATTTCAAAAGCACGGGAAGAAGAAATGGCATCACCCTCCCTTGGCGCACGCGTTGTGAATGCGCGGACGGCTTGGCCATTGAAACTGCAGCAGCGACAGTGGTCAGAACATGCAAGACTTGCTTCAACATTATCATGGAACCGTTGGGCCTCGCCGTCTGCTTCCTAGAAATAGCCTGCATCCTTTCCTTTCCCCTTCGTAATGTTGGTCTCATTGTTACTGTACATGTTTACGGTTCCTCACTGAGTGTAAGGCCCAACCCCCAAGCATTCACTAAAACTCGCCTGCTGCGCCCTTAAGCCTGATATGAAACGTTGGACTGACTGCCATGAATGCCGAATGCCCGACTTGAAGCCAGACCTTTGACTGCTTTGGGACCCAACCTTGCGACTGTCAACGCCGTCCGTGGCTACCTTTCTTCAAGGCCGCTGTCGTTGCAACTCTTGTTTTGCTGCTGCTGCTGCTGCTGCTGCTGTTGTTGCGGCTGGATCTTGTTGCCTCAGAAGTAGGACATGTGTGTCCCTGGGGTTGTTGCTTGTTGAAAGCTGTGAAGTTATTGCTCATTCGTCACTTGGACCAGGTCTGTTTAGGGCACTGCCGGAACAGGCAGGTGGCTGCTAGTTCCGTTGAGCTGCTTGCAGGCGCGAGTCGGTAAAGTGCAACTGCCGGGCACTGCCCGGCCAGGCCAGCAAAGACAACCTCCACCGAAGGATCTCTGTGTGGTCTTTCCGTTTACGCCTAACCTTTCCCCACACGGTCACAGAGGGGTCAACATGGTCAAATGAGGTGGTCCAGAAATGAATTCCTGTCATTGGCGTTTTGGTCGCAATGCCATGTGAAACTACGCACTTGGTTGTGGACCTGTCGGGCCACCAGAAGAATAACAAACGCAGTAACCTTGCGTCCAACACGGCTTGTAGATGTTGAGACACGGCCGATCAGGCAGACAGGCACGGCAGCAGCTAGGGGACAGCAACAAAATTGTGGCGAGCAACTGCACCGGACAGGGATCTCAAAAGGCAGCAACCGATGTGTCAGGCGCAGCAACATCAGAAAGCTAGCAGATTGCCGGGCAAAGGGTACGGTCAATCATCTCCCATACTCAGCGGGCCAGTTCGTATATACAAAAGGATGAACTGAGAATTTGGTATCCAAACAGATGCAGAAGGAGAGGCGTGAACAGAACGTCTAACAACCTGTTCGCTGCAAGCACAATTGTATGCCGGAGGGAATGCAAAGGATTTGCTGGAGAATGGCTGCCTGAGCACCCCTAGCATGGCGGTACACATGAAGTGGATCCCCGCCTAACATGCGATCATGCGAATTTCTGGCTAAGGCTTTTAAGGGTGACAACACTTGAACTACAGAGTCTGCTCCGACCACTTGCTCCTCCTCCTCCCACTGCTCACAAGGTATGCATGTAAATAACATGGCTTCTGAGAGCTCTTGGCACTCAGAGCAGAGATGCGCTTCTTCGAAACGCATCTAGGATTTGGTGCTGTGCGACTTCTCAAAGCATGAATTTACATCTGTCTTTTCTAGTCTATGGGGATGTAAAGTTGCAACAGCGTCACTCGGTTCAGGCTGCTCAAGTGGTCAGCCGAAAACAAACGTGTGTGATAAGCGTTGCAGATAGCAATGTCAGCGCAGCATCCAAATTTCCATGCAAGTCTTACTAGCATGCCCTCGTCAAATGGCCGGGAAAACCGTTCCCTTAGGGCACGTGGACTAAAAGCCCACCCAGAAGAGATGCCCCGGCAACACGGGAGCGTTGCAGATGCGGATCGCATATAGCCCTGCACTTCCACCTACTGCGCGTTGACTGAAACTCGGCTCTGCAGGTGTTGTTCAGTGCTGCTGCACGCGTTGCTACAGTTGACTAGAACTTCACGCTCTATTTGCAGGGCACTGTTAAAGGGCCTTTGGGGCTTCATGAGCACGCATTTTTGTAGACTCGCTCCGAAGCAAGTCTTCACTCAACCTCAAAAGTAAGACCAAGTATAGCCAGACAGTGGCAAGTGGAGAAAGAACCTCATGGCCTCGGCCTGTGTGGGGTTCACCTCAAAACTGTGGGACTTCGCATTGCCCGCACGCTGAGCTTGATCTTTTGATGATGCTAAAAGGCTTCACAAAGATGACGAGAAGATTACAGAAAGGGTGTTTCGGTTTTAGGGACATGTATACCCCTTCCATGCTGATGATGCTGTCCTCCTACAGGGCGCGCAGATGCCGGAAAGATATTGGATGCTTTCGAGAGACACAATGGTCCTGATGATGCAGGTGGCCACCAGCCAATCAGGCGGGGGTGTTGAGGTAGAGTGTTGCCGCTGATAACTCCGGCACGCCACTCGGTCCAAAATGACACTAAGATAGGGAATCGTAATCATGATGTTACGAAGAGGCACTATTTTCCAAAAGATGTAGTGCTCATCATAGAAATCATAAGAGTGAAAGCATTGCTAGCGATGCTGGGACGTCATGATAATGAAAAGAGTCAGTTCAAGAATTATCAGAATCAGCAGCGATCAGGAAGCTTGGCGGGGCTGACTTTTTTGAGTGAGCTCAGATTGGCTTCAGCCGTGGACGAGTCAGGGAGGATGTTGTTGGGAAGCAACGACGCTAGCAGGGCGAGGTAGCTCACTGCAGTCGGATGGTCAAAGGACCGCCAGATGATCCAAGCCCTATCCGCAAGATTCCGGCAGAATGCCAGGAAAACCTGCACGCCCCTAGTTTGCACATGCTCACAAATTCAACGAAAGTTGTGAAACCCGGGGTTGAGCAAATGAGCCACACACGTTCTTGAGCTCAGACGGACTGCGATCGAAGTAGTTGGTGGCATTGGGGTCACTGCCTGCAGCAAGCACAACGACTGGTTCAAGACTTCTGCCCCGCGATGTAGACGGCTGCAGCCTTGAACCCTGCTCCTAGCCTCCAAAGTTGTCCTCAACAGCGGCAAAGTCACTGCACGGCGTGACCTGGACGAATCGTCTACGAGTACTGCAGCGGATAGCACTGCAACTGTCTGTTTGCAAGAGAACCACATTGTCGTCGTCAAACTTGACCCAGCGCTCGTCCAGATTTGGCCTTGACATTGCCACCACATGCAGAAAACTCATCAGCAGTAAAGGCATGTCAGCATGTGATGCGCAGACCCCTCTGAGCTCATGGCCGTATGTAGGCGTAGTAATGTCCGCCTGACGGCTTGGCATAGGGACTGCAGAGGGTCCCCATGTGTCACTACTTCCACTTCACTGCCCGTCTGTGCTGCGCGAGAGACGTCGTCTGAGCTGCAGGCTGTTCACGTCACCGCTGTGTACCACCACTGAGTGCAGCAAATAATGCCTGGAACACGGGGTGGAGCATCTCAAGAGGCCCACTCTACCCGACCCGTAAAAGATGAAGAAAGGAAAGAAAGCGAGAAGAAGTTTTGATGCTTTCATTCTAAGCGCTGAACCCAGCGCCGGGCGCAAACTTTGACAAGTCTAATCGACGAGGAAACTCGAAGCGGCTATTCAACTTCACCTGACGTTGCCAAGCATATGCCTCCAGTGCCTCAATCGCCTCAATCGCCCAAAGTATCTCAGGGCGCACCATGTCCATGCGCTCCATGTCGAAGTGAAAGCGCTTGAGCTGCAGATTGAGGACAGGTGGGAACTGCACGAATCGGATGCCCTGCGGTCAATGAGCACTTCGGCAGCCACAAATGAAGGTCCAGCCAACTTTAGAAGAGGTGTGGCCTTCTTTGCCCGCTGCTTGCCGTAGCCCTCAGCCTGCCATCAGACGAAATCTGCAACAAAAAAAGTCAGCAGATGAAGGCCAAAAGACCTCGTAAAGATTGTCACCGTCAAGCATCTCATCCGCAGTGAATTCTTTGAGAGATTCCTCACGGAGTCTCACAGACCAATAAGGGTCAGCCTTTACGCGCTGCTTACATGCCAAAGTCCTCAATGGTCTGGAGGTCGTTGCCCTTTTCACTCTTGATGTTCAGCTGAATGTCATAAAACCTCAGATGCCAGCACTGCTTTACCTCGACAAGCCTCAAACTGCAAGACCTTAGGATTGAACGTCTCGCGCCGCTTGGAGGTGTAGTCAACCTGAGCAGCAAGCTGTACAGACAAATGAAAGGCTGGTGGAAACCCAAGCCCCCACATCCAAGCACTCGATGTAGTTCTCCATCTCGCCTTCGAAAAGCCTCATCCATACATCTCTCACCAGGCTTGGCTGGGTTTGGCAGGGCCCAGCAGTACAGCAGCTGTGCTGCTGCGCAGTGCACTGAAGGAATCGTGCTTAGAGGCTTAGACATGCCCTTGAGAGACATACATGTCTTCGCCAGCATTCCAGTTGCAACAGTCAGGCGACCTCTTGATGGATCCGTCCATGGGAGTGCCTTTCATCTGCTCCTCCGCTTGAGTCGCTTCTGCATGGGCTCGAAAGGGACACGGCACCAAGGTCTTGAAGTCGCATGGTGGCTTGACAAATGCTATTGGGCGAGCAATGTTGGGCAAAAGCAGCTGTCCATTTGTAATGTTGTTATGAACACCTCCCATGGTTCAGAAGAAGCGAAGCATAGGCAATGACAAGGACCCCCAAAAGCAGCAAAAAGCAGGAGCGGGCGAGAGGGGATCGGAAAGCAACCCTTCAAAGAAGCTGCTCGCGGCAAAGTAAACTGCGAACAGATATACACCTCCACTTTGCACTGTCAAGCTTTCAACGCGCTTGCAGCATACTTGCCAGGCTCCTCCAGCCGATCACAGAGGATCCTGTTCAGCTCCTGCCACGAAACTTGCTTTGTGGCACTTTGTGGCAGTAGCGTTCACCTAGGCACAACATTCGACTCTGGCACTGTCCTGTGCGTCATGCTGCGTGAAAGCATCTGTTGTGTCCCATCCGAAAGATTTCATCAATTCTTTGCAATTGACAGCCTCCGCAAACGAAGCGGCGCACTCCATGTGGATTCCAGGCTTTCTGAACAAGACAATGCCTGCTCTGAGGTCTGCAGTCTGTAGAAAACGTTCTGCAAAGCCTGCGCAGAATGACATGGCCAGACTGCTGCAAAATGCATTAAAACTGCACGACATGGCTGTGCCTGGATCAGGGAAATATCACCTGAGACAAGAAGACTCATCAAAGCATCTCTGCACATGTACGCTTGGCAGGCCTTCTGCATCGGTGTCTCCCGCTCTTTCCATTGGCGCATCCTCCTGACACTCTCCCAGCTACTTAAAGGTAACTCCAAAAAGTCTGCGATGTCCTTTTCCTCCTTTTCGCACTCGATGGAATAAACAATTCGCCTACAAAGCATGCTGACATGCCGTGAACCCAAAGCATTCGGTTTCAGGTGTAGGGCCGACCATGCCTGAATTCTCCGACATGAAAGAGGCTCTGAAGCAAGCCATTCATGTAACACCTGGCTCACGTGATGCATACTTCCTGGATCCAAGGCGCAGTGGCTGCAGGGCTTATCTTTGCAAACAGGCCAAGTGGCGTTGCACCGTGGTTCATCAAGCCGACGTATCCAGTTTCTTTCCTTGCAACTTGGCACAAGAAATCCTTACTGAATACTGCCGTCATTTCCACATGTCTCCGCGCCTACAGTTGTAGTCTTGACCAGCTTGGACACTGTCGGCCTTGAGAACACAGCTGGATTAGCTGAAGGATGATGGTGCAGTGGACGTGGGCGTGCAGCAGCTTGATGCGCTGCCAACTTGCTTCTCCCACAGAACTTGACTTCAAATTCAACTGCCCTCAAATGGGGGTTTCCCAAAATGAGGTGTACCTTTTTGGGGATCCTTATGACCAGGATCATAGTAAATTGAGGTCTATATTAGGGTCCCCCTATTTTGGGAAACTACCAAACAACTACAACTATGTGCCTGTCGGACGCAGACGCATGCCCGGAAGCAAAGGCTGTCACGAGGGCCTCACACCATTGTGAACAACCGGCATGCGTTGTCTTACCATACCAGCCGTTCTCCGCCTAACCAGCCGGTGTCCTGAGACAACTCAGATGTCCTGCCAGCCATCTTCGTGGAGACATCGTGAAGACTTCGGGCCGAGCAGTTCAAATTTACACTGCTTATTTCAAGCCGCATGTGGCGACCCTGTCCTCACCATATCGTGCCAACCTCTGTCGATCCCATCCTCACAAAGACTATTTTTGAGTGGCGAGATGCTCACTGGAGTTGAAGATACTTTTGGTGGACTTGGCTCCTGGCCTTGGAGAAGCTCCAAGTGTCGGACTTGAGCACACTTCTGCGGTAGTCCAGCCAGTTGACAAGCACCACCTGGAACCAGGGTCAACTACCAACTACCACACATGCGCTGTGGGGCACTCCCGCGACAGTGCACCTGGTACTTCACGCCTTGGAAAACCCATCGAGGATCGAGCCCTTGGAACGGTGGTTCAGCTTCCACCGATTCTACGGTCCGTTTGATTCCATTCAGACAGCTGCCTTCCGGAGGATCGGCCTCCACAAACGCGCTGACCTCGGGAAGTCAGCAGTCAGCACCTCCCTTTCGTGCGAATACGGTCTAGTCTCGCGGAGTCTAGCAACGTAGCAGAGTCTGGCTCTCCTCAGCCAGAGCTGAGCAACAGACGGCGGTCCCACCAGCACTTGAAGTTCCCGAGGGAAAGCACAGTATCCTTCAAAGGCAACACACCAGCCAACAGCAAGATTTTGCTCCAGGAAATTCAACAGCCAGCCTAAATCTGAAGTTTCGCACCATCAGGGGTGGTGATCGCACTTTCTGAGCACCGGGGCAACATGATGACATGATGCAACTGGCCACCGCAGCGAATTAACTTTTCAGCTCGAAGTGGCAGGACGTCTGCTGAGGCTGGTGCATCACCACTAGGAAACGATGTTGCGTGCGGCACTATGAACTCGATCTCATGTTCGGCAGCCTTCAATTTGGGCAAGCCAGCAGGGAAGCCTCCGAAGCATCTGCAACTCGCAGACATTTACCAAGGTACGGGCTGGAGGAAGATTTTCTTTGGTGTACAGCTCCGTCTCTGGAGCCTGTCCCAGACGCGTACCCCCCATCGACCCTCCCTACCTCACTAACCTCCCTTCCTCTGGTTGCAAAACCGCTTTCCATTTCTTGGGGGCTCCCGGCCTCTGTTTCAAGCAAGTCGCTTGCTTCTGATGTGCGCCTGGGACCTCCCCGGCCTCTGCAGCAAGCAGCGTGGGTAGGATGAGTCTTGAGGCGAATGGGTAGTTCTCAACAAGACTGTAAGCACGCAAATGAAGAGCCATAGTATAGGGCACCTACACACAAGCACATTAGAACAGCCTATGAACCTCCCAGCTGGTGCCTGTGCTCTCTGTTGTCTCAGCTGCAACAAACTAGACTGGTCAGAGCTAGAAATGGTTCGCTACAGCGACCGGAGGAGCACATGCTGCTCTGTCGAGTCGCACCAGCAGACCAGCCCATGACACATGCATTGGTGAGAAGGTGGGCCTCTCATGCCTCTTGGACTCGGCATCAGCGCCTCAGAGAAGCAAAGCAGCAGAGATCTGTTGCAGTTGCACAGCAAGCAGAAATGGGCGGAGAATGCATTGGGTGATCAGCGGCTGTGCAAGAAAGGCATGCTGGGGAAACTCGTGATCTTCCCTGCTGTCAATCCGAGTCCTTGCACCTGCATATCTCCAGGCCCACTTCCTGCCCTGTGAACCACTGAGACACCTTGAATCATCGCCTCGAATCTTCCTGAGGACGCTGCTCTCTGAGGCGGGCTATTACCTCCATGACCTGCTGATACTAACAGGAAACCTGTGACGTGTATCTACTGTCGACTTGAGCGTTGCGGTAAGGACACCGCCCTCTGGGGATGGCGGGCCGCCACCGGCCTGCCCATGGTGCAACAGTGCAACACTTTGCCAACCTCGCAGAACTTCTCTTAGGCTCTCACGTCAGCGCCCCATTCAGGGGTGCCCATCTCTGGCGAAGCCTGTAAGAACGAAGACGCTGAGTGTATAGGGTGAAGGTTCGTCCAATGCAACTGACATGCAAAATGGGCCTTGCGGCGTCCGCAGGAGGGCCAACAGCGCCTGGGGCGCTCGCTCACCAGCGTGGGCACGGCGTCGAAGAGGATGCCTTGTCGCGGCTCTGATGGAAAACTCCTCAAGTATTTGGAGCTCAGGCCCCAGCCGACAGGAGACCCAGTTCAAAAAGGTCAAGTGAGGGAGGCTGCCAACACCAGCCGAAATGCCCATCCGCAGGAGGCAATGCATCATGTGAAGACAAGCCCATGAGCACATCTACTTACCCTTGACGGCAGATCAAGCTAGAATGAGAATGCTGCGGGGCAACATGTTTTATTGTCCGCCAAAAAAATGCTGCACACCCCCATTCGGGGGGCAGCTTAATGCTTGCGCAGCGATTGCTGAGCATCAAACTGCTAAGCAGCGCCCGCTAGCAGCAGTTTCTACCAGTACTGCTTTTGCCAGAATTGATTATCCATCTCCGCAAACACACGGACTGCAGGTGCGCCACGGCTTTAATCTTGCTTCTGACTCACTGAAACCGAACAGGCCCTTCCTGGAGAGATTTCGCGCAATCTTGTGACAGGTGGCATCAAGCCGCTCACCAGTGTCAATGAAACGCTAAGCCAGCGACGGGACCGAAGGTTCGGTAAGCAACGGGCGGTATGTAGCCGTAGATGGGCGTGCGCTCTGCCTACAAAGCTTGCAACTCCAATCACCGCAGCATGAAGTCGGCGCGAGCTCAGCAGCTGCCTTTGCGTTCAGGCCGGCAGCACCCCGGTAAATCTCGGAGTCACACTGTTTTAGGAGACCATCGCTCCTGGAGCCAAAGCCAACTTGGTCATGCTAGCATGATGAACACCCAAACACCCCCCAAAAAAAAAGCCGCTGGCTTGTCGATGTCACTGCCCCAGATCAGGGTGTCAACATGACCTTCGCAATCATCATTCCACAAGCACACAATGACTGCGGGACCCATACAGCAGCTACTGCAAGGCAATAACACCACCAGCGGCACAAAACCGCTGGACAAGACAAGCTAGCATGCAACTGCAACCACATGAGCACGCCCTGTGACACGAAAAGCTGAAACATTGGAAGTCGAAAGGCCAACACAACGCTTGTATTTGGCAGTTTCCCTAAATAGGGGGACTCCAATATAAACCCCAAAATACTATAATCCTTATTATAAGGACCCGTAATAATGTAACCCAAATTTTGGGAAGTACCCATTTCAACAGCTTGCAAGTCCCGGGCTCCAGAAGTATCCATCTTTAGAACTCCTACGAAAAGTTTCTGGAGGGGGTTCCCAAAATTCGGGGTACTTTTTTGGGACTTCCGATAACAAGGATTCTGTTATTTTGGGGTCTATATTGGGGTTCGCCTATTTAGGGAAACTACCATATCCGTCACGGACCGACCCTGCGCATGACTAGACGGCCATCCATTTTTGTCCGCAATGTTGCATCGAGAACACCATCCAATGGATCAATGTGCAAGATTAGCCTTGGCAGCATCTATGTCTGATAAATCATCGCTTCCTGACCTACCCCTCACAGACCAGTCGACGCATGACGGAATAACTCTCTCCCGAAGTACACATTAGCGAACAATTTCACCCCAGAGCCTTGCCCCTGGGCAGCTTCAAAAAAAGCAGTCTAAGCAAGGATCTGCAAGCATACATTGTACAGAACTGCTCAACCAGCACTTCATGAAACTCAACCGAGATCAAAATCTTCACAACTGGCCGGTCCTGAGGAACCCTGCAGGCATCGTCTTCGCGAATCTCTGCGGAAACCGTTCCGGGAATCATCATTTCCCATCCGTATATGACGAAAGGGCTGCACCCGAATGGTATTAAAAATCTTTACCCGTCTGTTTCCTCCAAGCAGCCATCATCCAGTCCACAAAAACTCTTCGAAATTTTGATTCGGAACTGGAAACCAGAAGCATCCATGTGCTAGTTGAATTCTTACTATGGGCCTAGTTGTGCTTCTTTCCGTACTGCTCCCATAGACAAGTCAACATTAGAGCACGCACAAAGTAGGCAACCAGTCCTCACATCATTGCGGATCTTCCCGATATAGCAGTTGACCAAGTCATATCCGCCCTAGAATCGAAAAACTTTGCCGTCTGCTCTCTCTCTCTCTCTCGCTCTCTCTATCTCCACAAGCCTCCAGGGCCTCACGGTATATTGGAGAAAGCCGGACATTCCAGTTCCAAGGGTCTCATACACATCATGGACGAGGCAGATGGATTCCTAAACGGTGCTTCGCTGCACTTGTGAAGGTTGTTGCAGGCTTGCTTTCGCTGATACATGAACCCTCAAGATTGCAAATGAGCGCTTCGTCTTCTCCCGTGCACCTTGACAGCTCTACACATTCATAACGATTTCAGGCGAACCACATACTGACTGCTGAAGCATAGGCCACACCCGTAGAGACTGATGCGCGGGTCTCAAGACTTGAAACTGATAAATTCTTCTGTGTCTCCTAAGCACTTTTGACCACCCTGCATGGTTGCTTAATGACGTTGCCATCTGATTCATGGCATCAAGCAAGTCACATGCTCGGTCTTCAAGCGTGGGTTGCTCTAGAAATGGGTGCATGAACAAACAGCTGACAGTGATGCAAAGTGCTGCTTCCCCTGTGCGCTTGACAGTCCAAAAAAGCTCGTAAAACGTTATCTCCTGCGAGTAACTCACAAGCAGGCACTTGAATGTGGCACAAAGTGCTCTCACATCCGCGTTGAGAACTTTTTGTTGCCCCCCTCTGTGACAATTTCAAAACATCTATGCAAAATCCTAAGCGAGACTTCCGTTGTTTTGTTATCATGAGAACCACGCTTATCATGAGTATGTCTTTGAGTCTCTTATCATCGTGGTTGTCACATACATTGGCATACTCTGAGGCTCTTAGAGCTTCAACACTAAGACATGTCAGAGGATGGGCCACATTCTTTGGAGCGTGTGCGAGTTTGGCAGTGACTTACTGTGTACGCAAGATTGAGGATCTCGCGTCCTGAGGCCCTGCGGAAAGGGGAATATCGGAATCATATCACATATCTCAGTGTGCGGCTGAGAGTGTTCGTGTTCTCGGAGACCATCCTCTTGCCGGTGCGCCGCTCCTGCACCAAACAGACGCGGCAAGAATGCCTTGCAAGAAAACCTTCCTTTGGGCGCCCTGCTTTAAGCTGCCCAGCTGGTGGCAAGGACTCCGGACGAATTCGTTCTGGCATTACCCACACCTCCTGCAGCATGAGCGGGAGCGCTCGCCAGTCTTGCTTCCGAAAATCTACGAAGTAATTATCAACGATGTCTACGTTGAGCCAGGTCTGCTTGCACGGCGCCTCCACGCGGGCTTTGTAGATTTCTCTCTCCGCGGCTCGAGGATTCTTGGGCAAGATCGGTATGTCACGGCCTTCGTCACTAGCAAGAAGTGAGCCATAGTATAAACTCCTAGTACCCCCCTAATAAGCCCTGTAGCAGTCCCTATAATCCCCTATATAACCCCCTTTCAGGAGTTTAGATTATAGCTCAAGTGAGTTCATTCAGCTGAGGTCTGAAATGTCCCAATCTGCTTGGCTTCCAGCGAGCCACAAAAGGCCCACGCAAGTTTGCATAGGCCTGGGGATGAAGAGCTGTGTCCTAATGATGGTGAGGATCCTCTCTCTCACTCCACTGGTCATGACACATATGACACATGTTATACTGCTACCACAAGACCTCCCTCAAACTCGGCTCCTGGCATTGAAGCCAAGCTGATTGCCCAACTTCATCGAAAACCTGAAGGGATTTGTTTTTCGGCATTCTCAGTGACTTTGAACGAACGTCCAGGCCGTCCAGGCCGCGGGCCCCGCAGAGATGTTCATGGTCGGCAATGAGGCGGACTTAGAAAATCACATCACAAATGATGAGGGGGACTTAGAAAGCGAAGCCACATCACATTCGCTGCGTGGACTTGCTGGTTCTTTTCGGAGTGTCTTTGAGTCGCTCACACGAGTGGGAGCCGATCTGTCTTGGCCTCCGATGCTTTTCAAAGAATTGAGAAAATTGAGAGCATCCGCGCATCCGCACCTGTGAAGCCATGGAGGTGTCGGCTCCCTGGGCCTGTGAGGCAAAAAAAATGAAAAAACAAGAGACGTCTTCTTCCACTACAAATACTTATCACTAAGCAGTACTAAGCAGCGCTTTGCTTTTTCATTTTGTAGCTGCTGTCGCGATGGCCTCCGTGCGAGTTTAGGAACGAGAACTTGGTCTGTGAAGCCATGGCAAGAACCGCTAACAGCTGCACGGCCAAATCGCGGCCAAATGCGAACGCAATCTTCACGTACCCTAAACCCCAAACCCTAAACCCCCAAAATCTTCATCAAATCTTCATCACATTTTTTCCACCTCGTTGTGTTTCTGTTAAGCGCAGGCTGAAGCTGCAGAGCAGGAATGCAGCACATTGGTCCCATTCATTTTTTTGCACCAAGCACGTCAGTGGCTTGATACACAGCTTCAAATTCAATTGCATTCTTCAGGCCCATGTTGAATGAGATCTGCGTGTACTCACCTCTCAAATAGGCTTCTGCGGCTTCTGATACATTCAAGTTCTGCAGGCGCAGATCTCACGTGAACGGCGCCTAATTTGTGCTGGCCTATGGATGAAAAAGCATGCTATAGCTCAGCGTACCCTAAAGCGTCATCACTTCAATTTGTCTTCGCCTTAACTAACTCCATGGCTCAGCATGTCATCGCATTGTCATGTACCTGACGGCAAGCAGCAGCAACAGCAACGGCAGGAGCAGCTGCAACAGCAACTGCAACAGCAACAGCAGTAGCAACAGCGACAGCAACAGCAACAACGGCAACAACAGCAACAGCGGCAACAGCGGCAACAGCAGCGACAGCAGCGACAGGGGCAACCAGTAACAGTAACCGCAACAGCAACAACAGCAGCAGCAGCAGCAGCAAGCAGCAGCAAGCACCACCACACACACAATCACCACCGCCACCGCCACCACCACTACAACACCAGCAGCAGCATTCACAGCAAAAGAAATGATGACGACGATGACGCTAACCGGTTGCTTCAGTGAGCCTGGTAACTGTAGCATTTGGACGGATTCAGACAGTGTAGCTTGAAGCAAGTAAACTTGGAGTGTACCACACTGTTACGCGTGCATGTCCGAATGATTTAATTTTGTAGTGTCAGTGGGGGATGCACGCCACAGACGTACCATAGGATTTATTGGAATGTTTGATCGCGGTCGCGCCTGTTCGAACTGCAGGGTGCATTTCCCAACATAGAAGCTAAGACATGGCAGGGGCACTTGCCTGTTGAAGGAAGAATGATCGAAAGCTGCAGAAACTGCAACTTAATGCGATTCACAACTGGATGCGTCAAAGCGTTGCAAGCCTGAACCAAAAAATCTCTGAATCCTTTCCAGCTTTCCACCAGGTGAGAAAAGATGACAACCACCCAAATGCGCCCACAATTCGGCACTTGCAGAAGGTCCAACCGGCACTGGCCTCGCAACGCTCGCAATGCCAGAATAGATCTAGAAGATGAAGCTTGCAGCTTGGATATCAAGCTGCTTTCACCTCCCCACCCTTTGAGCCCCTTCTCTTCAAGACTACCCGAGCTCTTCAGACAGGCTTCTCTGCGAACCTCTTGGCAGAGCTGCGTAGGACAGGTCAAGATCCAAAGTCGTTTCATCAACAAGCAAGGACATGCCCGGGAAAAGGGACGGGATGACGTAAGAGAAAGGAGGAAAGGACAGGCACCGTACTCGGAAAGGACTTCTTTATTTGTTCTGCAACTCAGTCGAAAGCGTCCGCAACAGTTCAGGAGCACGGCAACCTCTACGTGACCGCTAGATTGAGACCGGCCGAGCTATGTTCGCAGGGTCAGCTAGCAGCTCCAGATTCTGTGATGATGTCGCGCGATGCTGCGAGGGGTCTGTGGTTTAGCGCAGCAGGCCGAACCACCTTTGTGCGGCCCGTGCACGTAAGATTACAGTAGGCAATTTCAGAACGGTCTGTCTCACTGGCAGGCTCTGTCATGAGTTGAACTATCAGCGGCACTGCGCGGGTGGCACCATCGGATTGAGCGCAGGCCTGGGGAGGTGAAGAAGCTCTCGGCCGAGGAAGACGTAAAAACAAGGGCATACTGAGCTCGCTGCGGCATTGTCTGCGAAACCATCGCCGGCGCTGCCTGCACATAGTTCGTGCTCCTGTGATTTCAAGCATCTTAACAACAGCACATAGACATACACACAAACGCCAGAAGTGCTTGTCCTCACAGTGCTTGGCACCACTGATCCTGACTTGAAAGAGTTCTCAAGATCGTCTAGAGCCAGCAGACTTGGATCATCAGCAAGGAGACCATGAAATGAACTGTCTGGACGTCTGACCAATTACCAATATGATAGAACGAAGCGGCTGCAACACAATAATGTCTTTTCCATGTCGGTGAACTATGTTCAAAAAAAATCGACCTCCAAAAGTGCGTACATAGAGCAAGAAGATCTACTTAAAGCTGGTCAAAATGCAACAGCTGCGTTAGAGTCCGAGAGTCCTGAGATGCTCGGGACGATAGCCCCCGAGAGGGTGTGAGGTGAAATAGGTTGCGGCAGGGACGGCGACCTGTTCAGCAATCACATCTCTTTTGCTCTAGCTGGGTTGCTGTTAAGGAACTTGATTGTAGCTTAATTCAAGTTCCCTAACAGCAACCCAGCTAATGGGGAGCCCAGGCCTTCTGGGCGAGGATGCGTGGATACTGGCTACGGGCTGAGGGACATTCACAGACCTGGCCAGGGCCAGGGCCAGGACCAGGACCCTACATGATCCTGCATCCACGAGTTGCCACAAGTTCCCCGGGCACCCGGTTCCAGGGTAGAGGGATCCCTGCGAAGCCTCGAAAGTTCAGATCCAGGCAAGCTATTCAAGCAAAACTTACTGAGGATCTGACTGTCATGGCCACCATTGGCTGATAAGACTTCTGCGAATGGTGAGAAGGGGATGCTGCGTCCTGTGAAGAGGTCTGAGCTGCTTGGCGCACAGGCTTGCGATCGCGTCCTGAGCCTTGCGGGCTTCCTCAACAGTCCACACCTGCAACTCTTTCGCACTTCCAATTCTGCACCCTGGCTGTGTCCTCGGCGGGTTGCCTGGGATTGAAGCTTGTTGTGCGTGGAAGTTGCCACTCGCTTGTGCTCCTTGTGCCATGCAGGAGATTGTTAAACGGCCACTTCCTTTCCTCGCCAGTTTGCATGCGACCTGAGAAGCTGCGCAACTTGCAAACAGGAGCTGCTTCATCCTCGAACTCAGTGGCTACCGATGTCAGGGATTTCTGGATCCTGCAGGCAGCAGTTGTACAATTCTGCGTGGAAACATGGGTCCCGCTCCTTGAGATCTCCTCCTTTAGCCTTACCAGGTCAGACAAATCTCACCATGCAAGACACGGCAAATATGGCACCTGCTGAAGAATCATAGACTCTTCGCGGAGCAAAAGCATGCATGTGAAAGTGCATGTGAATGTGTTCGTACAACCATCTGTCGCATCAACATGAGGTGCTGACTCTGGCGCGCAAACAGTCTTGAACTTCTTGCTAGGTTCAGCGGACTTGAAATCTTTATAGGCTTGCACATGCCTTGATCCTGCAGCATCGCCTTCTCTGGACGGACAGTGACGCAAACTGATGTAGTGAATTCGGCGCAAGAGGGCATAGCTACAGATGGCTCAGTCTTCGCATGATCATCTTGCCGTCCAAGGTGCTGCCGCATCTGGTTGCGAACCTCCCCAGTGCCCCGGCTGTAGTCCTCCTGTTCAAAGTGTTTTGGAAACCAGGACCTCATGGAGCTTTACAGCTTGACAGCTTGACAGTCCGTCATCGACTTCAGGCTGGTCTCGATCTGCGAAAAGCGCTGCGTGCTTTCGCGCTGTACCTCGTCCCGAGCTCAGCTCGCTGAAAGTGAAGGCAGGTCATCGACGCAGGCGCACCCGCTCACAAGAGGACTTGGCAGTACTCACCTGCAAACGGGACTTGCAGCTGCTTGGAGTTCCAGCCACGCAAAAACAAGGCTTCCTCGTTCTGCGTAACTTGCAGGTGGTTCCTCGGAAAACAAGCGTGTCTTCGACTCGGAAGGACATGTGAAGGCGTCCATGGCCCACACTGCATCTGGATAAGTGAGCTTTGCAGATGCTGATGCGCCTGGCAGGATGGGGCGTCCAAACGTGCATGACGGCTTCCGGGCAGCTTAAAGTTGACAATGTTTGGCGCAGTTATCAAGATAAGCAGCTGCTCATGCTCTCCAAAGAGAGACCCTAACTACAAGTTGACAAACAACATGTGCATTCTGATTTTCTCATCTTCAACTGCCTATGTTCAGGTCAAGTTCATGCCCGGCGAGACCAGGATCGGAGACACGAAGAAGAACGCCAAGAAACAATCCGGTCCCACACAAGGAACCAAATGGATGCAAACTTGCACGGAGAGTGGGGCACTTGGACCTTGGCTGGCCCAACATACGAGGACAAGCCCGAGCCCCATCAGAGCGACAAGAGAAAAATGAAATGGATGAGAAAAGCCTTTGAAACCTGTAGGAAAAGCACAACAGCTCTGCAGCAACCCCGCATGAAGGGAGTTTTTAGGCCCTAGGTTGGCTACGTGAGACGAGCGGAAACTGTCTGGGACAAAGGACCTGTTCAGGGCATTGAGGGATGATATGAGGCACGAGCAAGTTTGCAGCAATGCCCCATTTCCTTCGGAGTAAGTAAAACTCTGTTGCCAAAGCAAATTAACTTCCGACATGTTGAAAAAAGGTCGTTTTCCAGAATGGCGTGGGCATGTTTTGCTGCGCAGGCTCGGGAAAAGACGCTCTTCGCAACAACACGCATGTTTCAGACTAGTTGTTGCTTGCGTAGGACATGTCTGCATGACTGCAAACCCGTTCCTGCGAGTACGACTTCTTCAGGGCTTCAAGCTCGTAGGTCTTCTGTGAGAGATTTTGCTGTAGCGTGTTGACGTCCTGCAGGCGTGATGAAGCTGAAGAAGCGCAAGACTTTCCACTCAAAGCGAGCAGCAAGAAATAGCCGCCCCTCCTGCATCATCTCGGAGTCGGACTGCGTCCTGCCCAGGACCGTCTGCAACGCTAAGACTTAAGAGACAGCTTCATAGACCTTGCAGTTTGTGCCAGTCTAAGCGCTTGGGCTGTACCATCAGGCCGCTACAAAAGATAGCTAATGAGACCCAGCTGATGGGCAACTCCCAAAGAGGCAGAACGCCCAGACCCAGCAAATGGCTCACGCTCCTCAAAACCCTGGAGGAAACTGATGAAGACACACGCATGATCACGCATGGACAACGTCGGAGCATGAACCGCCAAGGTCTGCGGCACGCGGGTTCGTTGAAGAACACACACTCTTTGCACGTTGCATCGCCTCTAGGAACACTTTTCTTTCAAACGGTCTTATAGCTGAGATCGCTGCTTCTGCTTTACCAAGGCCGTGATCTCGCCGAAGGCGCTGGTCAGCTTCTCTCGCAGGTCCGTCAGCTGAGACCTTGTGAAAAATGCGCATGAAGCGCATGACCCCGCACGAGACGTGAGGCGCGAAAACTAAGGCCACAACTGCATCTGCTGCGAAATACCTGTATCCGCGCGGCACATGTTTCCATACGCCCACTCAGCCTGGCTTCGCACTGCTCGAATGTCGCTTGAAGTCCGTCAGCTCCATGTTGTTTGCTGTGATACTGTCTCTGATGATGGACCTGAACAACCCTTGTTGAACGTTCCGCCGTCGCGCCACTTGCACAGGAGAAACCAAGCCCAGAGCGTCTCAGAGAGTATCTCTTGAACAGTCCGATTGTTCTGCACCTTCCGTGAAGCTGGGGTAAGATATCGCAAGGGGCTAAAGCGAGCAGCACGAGCAGCTTCCAGACACCTTCATCTCGGCTAGCCAGTTCGTGAAGGTCTTTACCTTCAGAGGTTCAGCAACATGATTAGCTGGATAGATTCTGGTTCCACAACAAGGCCGTGGCCGTAGGATCATGCTCAACCTGCGCGGAAAGGGCTCAGACGAAGATGCGGGACAAAGCTGTAGCATCATCAATCGCACCGAACATAAAAACTCGTCACGCGCAGTCCGATGAGCTGAACATCTCTGGTGCTGCAAAATACCGGAGACCCCATGCAGAAGTGGCCAAAGGGGCACACACGCCAAAGTCTCACCCCAAATCCTTCAAAACCCTGTAGGCAAAGAAAAAACTCGTTGTAGCTGGCTCTAGCCAGAAAGCAGAAGCTGTGAGCCTGTGAGCCTTTTGTACTAGCCCCGTAGTGCTCATGCCTGCTGCACTATATACCACACCCTTTAGTGCTTGTTGCGTGCTCTAGCCAATACTATTCTGACAGGATTGACTATTGAGTGTCACATGACTTGCGTAGCCGGTTGACAAGGTCGCGTCAAAGGCCAACCTGGACTTATGACACCCGAAGGCGGCCTATTGCTTAGCATGATAAACAGGCAGCGCCCACTGATTCAGGAAGGAGATGGCCAGTTCCAGATTACCTTCATTTTGCACAAGAGGTTTACGTCTTGAAGTGCAGGTCCCCATCACACCTAGAGAGCGCAACAACATGCAAGGGCTGCACGTAAAGACAGGCCTCACAGCTGAGGCTCGCTCAGCATGTCTGCACAATTAGCCAAAGAGCTCAAAGTGCCCAAGGCACCTTCGCCTTCCTTTATCAAGAGCAGTTCAGGCATCGCGAACCGGAGATAAGGTGGGCATCCGGGCATCCTCCAGACTGCAGCAGCTGCAGCAGCTTTGGCATGCTTACCTGCTTAGATTTGCCTCGCGAACATCCTCCAAACCCCATCAACTTCTTACTCTTCCAGAACTTTTGCCTCACCCTCAAAGTGCCAAAGCTCAACCAGCATGGCGCAGACGCGTGCAAGAAATACACACCGGGTTTTGTGCACACCAAGGGCACATGCCAAAACTATTTGGGTGCAGGCGCAATGGTCGCCCTGTTGCTTTCTATGCCTGAAAGTGGAAAGAATCCTAGGTGTTTGCGCGATTTGGAGGAAAAGCATGGTAGTTGGACATCCAGGAAACTCTTGCATTAAAGAGAAGATTTTCCTCTTTGTTACATTGTGTTTCGGTTTCTGAGATTAAGCTTGTTAACCAGGAATCCGCAACCCGCAACCCGTAGAGAAACAAAAACGATATACATACCAGTGTTTTCGGAATGGTCACCAAAGGCATGGACGCTTGTGACAGCTTTCCTTGTTCCACATCCTTGTGCAGTATGTTGTACAAAGATGCAAAAGCAAGTGTTTCGGGCAGGGTCGCCAAAGGCATGGACGCTTGTGACAACATGTCTTGTTCAGCACAGAATGTTCAACAGCTTCCCTCGCCCTTTGGGCTCGGTGAGGCTGTGAAAAAGAACGCCTCTCCATGCTAGAGGTTAACTCGAAAGACGCAGCTTTGGGGCTGCAGACTTGAGAAGTCATGCAAGGCCTGAGGGTACACAATTCTGGAAACCGCAAGCGTAGAAGGAGTTGTCAACCCACGGAGCCACCCAGAGCTGGAATGCTAGACAACATTCAAGTGAATCCGACAGCAACGCGAAGGCCGCAGGCTTGCAAGGCTCAAGCAGTATCCTACTTGCAAAGGAAGGGCCCAGTCACAAATGCCCAAGCTAAGGCTGCAGTAGGCTGGAGGCCTGAGGGAGATCAGCCAGATGAAATGGCGTCGCTACGCCTTCGCAAGGCCGCACGGGCACGGTAGGCCCGAACGGCGACGCAGAGTTCCTGTAGCATGGTGGCATGAGTCTTGTCCGGATCATCGCCTGAGATCGCAGCAACGGCCCGTGCAATGTGCTTGATAACGATGCTAGCGCCAGCATCCCATGTCCCCGTTGTCTCGACCACCATGGGGACGAAGACGACCCCTTGCCTCTCACAAGCTTCGGCCGTATTGAGGTGGGCCTCTTTATGGCGCGCATACGCGGCTGCGGCTGCCCCTGTCTGCCATGGCCAGAGTCTGAGGCGCCGTGACGGCGAAGTCAAGCGCAGCAGGGGACCCCGCCAGTGCGGGCAGGTAGACATCAGCCGGCCGACGCCTGCCGATGTGGGTGTCCTCAGGGTCTTGGGGTAGCAGGAGGCCTGGACGTTCTTTTTCAGGTCGCAAACCTGCTCGGCTGGCCCACGAGCAAACCAGGTCGCGGAGGGCGTTGTGGCGCTGTGTGCCCTCACCGCCTGCTACACACATCCCTGAGTGGTGTCCATGCCGATCCAGGATGCCATCGCATTTGGGGCACCAGCAATCGTCCACAGCCTCGGCAATGCCCAGCCGCACTCTCAGTTCCGTAACGAATGCTGCAGGCTCCATGCGAGTGTGTCCAAAGGGAACGGCACTCAAGAAGGCCCTCGCCCCCACGCCTGCCTCGGAGCGCAGTCCAGCCAGTGTTGCCGGACTAGCGTTAGCAAGCTGCTGGCCCAGGCTGCCAAGTCCACTCGTTGTGAAAGGGCATGTTGTGTGCTGGAGAGGGCGGTGTCAAGAGTCACAGTCTCGTTAGCAGGCAAATTGCTGTTGAGAGCCTGCAGTGTCTCAACTACAGCTCGCGAGGCCTGAGCCGCAGCTGCAGTAAAGGCAGGGTCGAGCTCTGCGCAACCAGCTAGGCAAGAGCCAAGGGAAGCCAAGTAGGCCGCTGGTGCGTGAGTAGCGCAAGACCGCAACCCAAGACCAGCCTGGGCAAAACCGCGCGCAGCCTGGCCCCACTGAGCAGCAGTGGCATGGATGCCTGTGAGGCCACTGAAGCATCGCCGCACCATGTCATCAAAGCTGGTTAGAGCTGCAACCTGTGCCATGGCCGGGTTGCACCGCATGCTGTGATCATCCGAGAAAAGCCCGCATGCCCGGAGCAAGCGCAAACCAACCTGCGGGTCCTCCAAGTCCGCCAGCATATCAAGCAACTCCCCAGCCTTGGCAGTCCGCGCTGCGGTGTGGGCCTGGATGTAGGCGGCATCGCCAATAGCGGCGCCGAGGAACTCGAAGTTGCGGAGCACCTTGCCTGAACCGTCCGGATTCTGCAGGAAAGCGTTAGGGAAGTGGGCCCTGAGTGTGGTTTCGTCAACGGCACCAAAAACGACTACTTCACATTTAGATAAGTTGAGCACAAGGCCAATTTCCGCAGCACGTAGTTGAACCTCAGTCAGTGCCGCTGACACAGCTGCAAGGTCTCCAGCAAGGACGCCATCGTCCAAGAAGTGAATGGCCAGGTCCAGAGGTCTTGATCGCAACTCGCGGGCCAGAGGCTGCAGGGCCGCGGCAAACAACAAAGGTCCCAGTGGATCACCTTGTTGGACACCAGAACTGGAGCTTAGAACGCGGTCTCCAAATTGCAGCCTCGTGGGTTGGCGATAACACCATGTGGCCCAGCGGGAGAGCGCGGGGAAGTGGTCGACCACCTGTTGCAGTACGGCATCTCGCTGCACAGAATTGAACGCATTGGCAAAGTCCAGCTTCACGAGCACCTTTTGGCTGGAGCCTGCATGACGCTCCACCCAAGCCCGCACAGTGTGGACAGCCTTCTCGCAACCCTTCTTTACGGCTACACCAACTTGCGCAGGCCAAAAATAACTGCCTGCATCCTCCCGCACGAGGTTCATGAGGCACTTGCCTGCCGGTCGCCGGAGAAGCTCCCCCACAGCAATAGGTCGGAGCCCACCATTAGGCTTGGTCAAGGCCACCAACCCGGCTCCGGCTAGGACTGGCGCAACGCAGGGAGGAGCCCGGCCTTGACCATCACATTGAGAACCGCTGTGAGCTGCACAATGAGGGTATCATGGCACCCAGCCACGCAAGCATCCCGCAGATGCTGGGCCCGCAAGCCAGAAGGGCCAGGAGCGGTCTCAGCAGGAAAAGCACGTAAACATCGTGCCACAAGTTCAGGAGCCAATTCAGGTGGCACAGGCAACTCTTGCAAGGCCCTGGCAGCGGGTGATGGCCGGGAGGGGTGCAGCCTACAAAACCTTGGCGTTTTCAGCAGTGGGTGGGCAGAGCCCCTTTGAGAGCACAGGCCTTCTTGTCAAAGCCCTCTCTCCCAAGACTGGTAGCCATGTCGCGGCGCTCGGCAGCAGAAGGGGCACCATGCGGTTTGCGCTTAGGAGACGGCCGGGATGCCCACAACGAGAGCCGTTCCCCTTCCAGCCAGCGCTGAATGCGATCCCGAGTAAAGCAGCGGCCGCTTTGGCATGGCGCTTTCCCCCTCGAGCAGGGGGGCACAAGAGGCACTGAGGCAGCATGAGAAGTTCACGCCAAGCAGCCTCGTCATTTCTGTGGGCCACCGTGGCCAAAGCCTGAGTGAGCACTTGGCTCCACAAATGTCGCACAGCCGCTGGAACATGTCTCAAAGTCGAGGTCGATGCAGACTGAATTTCCTCAAACGACGGCAAAATCGCAGCAGCGCGGGCCTCAGGCCGGCACGTTGGATGTACGCCATGACGCTCAGAGACACTGAGCCCACAAACAGGGCAACGTATCCGACCACGGGATTGCAGCCAAGTCTGCGGCACATCCCCCTCAAGCGATCCAGCTAGATGAGCATCAATATGGGATCTCATGTTGGCCTCGGAAGCCCAGCCGCGAGCGCGAGCCGCGTCAGAGCACGGACATCCAGCGACTGGGCAAAATACACGTGCACTCCTGACTGCAGCAGGTGCACCAGTTCTGGCGGGAATGCATGCAGCTGGTCGAGGGGGTGATCGCTCGCTCGCCCGCCGCTCGCCCCCCAGAGGAGTACCTGGCTCAGCCCCGGATGACTAGCCTCACCAATACGGCAGCCGCGAAGGGGCCACCCGGACCACCGCTGCTTGGCTCTACGCCGGCAACCTTGCCCCCATGTAACTCGCTGGTACTTCAATAATATTCTTGGCCGTCGATGAAACTGCACCCATGTCGAATGCTTGAAGCCACATAAGGGGTCCCAGACTCTCAAGGGACCGCCTCCACAGTTGAGACTCCGTGTCAGGAGGCGACGCCTTTTGCGGTCTATGGGGTCCGGCACCCATTGCCTCCACTCCCCTGCCGGCTCCAGAAAGGAGTCACATAGCACTGTGATGCAGAAGCTCAGAAAGCACACCCCAGGAGAAGGAGCCATGGCTTGAGCCAACTCTGGTGATATTTTTGGCCCAAACCCCACCTAGACATGTCTTGTTTCACATCCTTTGCGCGTACACAGCACTGAAAATACCAGTGTATTGGGCATGGACGCAGTTTGAATGACGTTCTTATCCCCCCGGACCCCCCCCAGCTCCCCAGCCGAACAACACCTGAAAAAAGCCTTCAAAAGGCTTTAAAACCTCAAAAACATAGCGCGACCTCTGCGCCCACCAGCAACGATTTGCACACTGAAATCGCCAAGCATGACTTCTGGTCGGCGAAGGCCATCATGTCTCCTAAGAATACCTGCTGCAGGCCCAAGCTGAATGTGTACGCATTGTCTTGTTTATCCCCAGCATCATATGCGCACGCATCTTCGCCAATCATCCGCAGCACCCGAGACTGCTAGCATGACCAGCATAGAATAACGTTTCGATCCCTTCTGACCCCTGTCGGGGAGTGCTCCCTGCACCCCCAGTTGACAGCTACCTCAGTGCTCAAGAACGAAAAGGGTCACCTGCGTTCACCGAACACTACATGACTGTCGACGTCAGCCACGACGAGTATCATGCAGAAGGCATCTGCAAAATGTGCGAAGAAGGAATGGATTTCCGTCACGGAACACGCATGCGATCAGATAACTTTCAGCGAAGATTTTCTTGAGCATTCGCGCCTCAGCCTTTGCGTTCATGCCGCGCAACCTGCTTTTGGTCCAAAGCGGGCAAAGGCTTCTGATGCTGACTGCTATGATTCAAAATGCAATTGCACGATGCTAGGGATTGTGAGCTGCGATCTGGATGTCAATCATGTTCAGTTAGCGCAAGTCTGCTCATCCACATGCCTACAGCTGTGAGCCACATGCAGTATTCAGCACAACCCGAAATCTGGATCCTAGCAGAAACGGATGTGGGTGGGTCAAAGGTGTTTGAGTTTGGGGTTAGGAGGTAGGGGCTTCAAGGATGTAGGGCTTAGGAGTTTGCGGTGTTCCGGGCCAAGGCGAGAGACTTGTGAAATGTTTGGAGAAATTTGAAGAAGGAGCACAGGTGCGAGAAAACTTTAGCTCTAATTTGAATGAGGTTTTGCATATGGCTTGAAGCGAACAGATCAGGGAATTGAAGAACGTTGGGTGGGCTGGCACAAGGGTTCAGGGTTTGGGAAGAGTGAGTAGGGACCTTAGAAATGTTGGGTAAGGTGTTGAAGATGGTTTTGGATTTTTGCCAAAAAACTCTTGACTACATAACTCGTGCAGATACACCTCTTCCTATGGGCTGCTTGGACGTCTGTCCCGTGAGTCTATGCATATCACACATGCATTTCCTGACATGTGACAACTGCTCATACACCTTTGCAACGCTACACACTCGAGGCAATTAATTCTGCCAATTTTGGTGGAGCATTGGCAAACGGAAACCAAATTCGAGAACTTGAAACAAGATTAGGGATGTAGCGTTAGGATTTAAAGTTTAGCTTTTGCAGGTTTACGTTTTCATGGTTTAGGCTTTGGGGTGCCGAGGCTAGGGCAAAAGGGCATGAGCAAAAATCACATAAAAGACCTGTGGAACTTGGGGGTGGGATTGAAGAAAGCGCAAGGCTTTGAAGACTGTGTACTGATTTCAGAAGTTTGGCTAGGGTCTTTCAAACGCTTGCATACGGATTAGAATGCACCTGGATTGTAATCTGCACGTCTGGTTAAGCATGAGTGGAAATTCGACTGGCACCACCAGGGGTTCTGAAGTTCGGGACCTGGAATCGAGACACTGTTCTTGCAGACTGTGGTTCTGTCAGTAGCGGTCGTCATCGTTGTTGTTGCTGTAGTAGTAGTAGTAGTAGTAGTAGTAGTAGTAGTGGTAGTAGTCGTAGTAGTAGTAGTCGTAGTAGTAGTAGTAGTAGTAGTAATAGTAGTAATAATAGTAGTAGCAGTAGTAGTAGCAGCAGTAGTATAGAACAAACCATTTTCAGGACCCTCCTCGCAACTGGTTGTCCAGATGCCCAATCGGCTTCTGAAGGGAGGTCCCATCACGCTGGCCTCTTGCAGTTCGAATGGATACTTAAAACTTGTCCATCTTAGTCTTGACTCATAATAATGAAGTTTCTCTCCGAGGATGCAAAAAGTCTCCTAGATGCTACGAATTACTTTTGCTAGCAGGAGACTTTTGCCGCCAACAGCTCGAAATGGTTAGCCCTGGCAGTAGTTTGAGCTATTTGTAGTGCTAAATGCACTATGTTTTGCACATGTTAAAAGTTCCAACAGCACAAAACACTGAGAGGGCATGTACCCATCATGTAAAAACAGCTGGCCCTATATGGCCCGGAGTAGTAGTAGTAGTAGTAGTAGCACGACTAGGAGTAGGAGTAGCAGCAGCAGCAATCTAATAAGACTGAGGCAAAAGGTGCCCTCCGCTGCATCTTCTTTCCAGGCTTGTTGCTTGGCCACTTTTGGGCCGCGCGACTGGCAGTTTCGTCTCGATGCCATGCACGGGGAGCACTCTGTCTCCAACGCCACTTGCAATCGGTCCAGCCTTAGATGCAGGAAGTTGCAGGAGCCTGAAGGCCCGCACAGAATCTCAGAAGCGCATCTCCTCCTCCGAGCTGCCGTTCGCGGCTCGCAGCGCGCGAGCGCAGCGGCCCCGCACATTCGGATCAGTCCTCGTACCGGTCATACCTCACCAGCTGCTCACTAGCTTTGCTATGCAGGGCTTCGCCTCCACACTTACAACCGAAGCCAGCCAAGCTGCTGATCGTCCTCGTCCGCAGGAGTGAAGAAGTTGTCCTTCCAGATCCTGCAGGTGTTGTCCTGTGGCAAAAGGTGTCCGTTCAAGCTTCTGTTGATGTCATGCATGCCAATGTCCTTGGATCCAGTGATTACGGTGTCGCCCTCGTAGTTGAAAGCACACGAAAAGATTTCATCGCTGTGTCCTTCCAAGACCTCCAAACAAATATGAGGCTCGTCATACAATGCTGATATATGCTGATGCTGTTGAGAACTCAAAAGATGGCCTGCAGGCACTCCCCAGTCTCGACAGACCACAAGCGGCATGTACGGTCCTGGGTTTAGAGTTGCTTACTTTGCCCATGTACAGCGGAAAGCTGAGAAGCAGAATTGGTTACAGCGAGGGACGCTAGATGCCGTAATGATTTTGTAGCCATTTGGGCTGAACTGGACCTCAGTTTGAGGAGGGCACACGGGAAAACAAAAAGGCACAAGCCAGCCCGGCGGGGCCGTGCCTTGGAGATCTCACCCTCGTGGCCTATCAAAATGGATATGCAGGCACCGGTCATGACCTCAGATCGCAGCCGCTGCATTCAGACTGAATGCGTCCCGGTACATGATGAGCATGTCTGGCAGCTGCCACACTTCTTTCAGAGTGTTCAGGTCCGCACATTATAGACTCGCGCCGTGCAATCTGCAGAAGCAGTGACGAGGCCTAAGAGTGAAGTGTCTGTGGTGCTCTCAGTGCAGTCCACATATGATCACTGGGCGGGCAACGATTTCCAGTTGTGTTGAAGCACACATCTAAGACCTAACAGTTGTGTTGAAGCACACATCTAAGACCTAAAAAAGCCAGCTAG